TTTTGTACAGTACATGTTTGTTTCATAGTGACCTTATGCATTAATAACACTGTTTTGAAAGATGGCAGGATTTTTTCTTAAAAGTTTGTAATTTTGTTATTGTTGGTGTTTTGCTGTCATAATGATTGTTGTTAACATCAGTTCAAATTTTCACATGTTAGCCAATATTTGACGAAAGATCATTTTTTCCCTTTTCCCCCATTAATTCTGAAACAGGCCACAGTTATCTTTATAATCATGCATTTAATTTTTTTTAAGTGCTTTTTTTTCTTTTTTAATTTCTTTCAATCATAAATGATAATAAAAGATCATACTGTATTATGTAATGAGAATTACACAATTCAAATATCAGTTTTGAAAGTGCAACCATATCAACATCCATGGTATCTCTGACTAAGACAGAAAATCATGTAAGCAAAGGGCTGTAACTCCATTCAAGGGCAACTGGTAAAGTATGTACAAAGTATAGAAACATTTTGTGTAGGTAAAAAACTGCCAAGGTTTTCAGCAAGACAAAGTTAAAATATCAACTCTGTGAAAAGTGGAGCATGGGAGACAATTTCAGCCTTCCCATTAAGTGTGGAATGTTTGGTAAATGTAGGCTCGGAAAAACAGCTATGAAGTTATATGGTCTCAACAAAACATTGTTGACACCACCTGCCACCAGCCCACACCATACCATAATATATACTGTCACATACATACCTATATGTAACAGAGGAAATGTAAACAATAAATATTTTGAATGGTTTTGAGATGTCCCCTAAAATGAGAGACTGGAATTGTCAACATACTATCTATAAATGTACACAAATATGTGGCCATGGAGCAGGTAAGAGGTGGCTGACCACCTGATAACAGACCTACAGCCAATGTTATTGTAATGTGAATACAAGGGCAACACAGAGAATCCATTAATGTACTTTAGTGTGACTTTAAATGGTATTATTAGAGGTAAAGCCGAGTTAATCTCATTCGTCCCACGTCTCAAGGGTTTGATCTAAGCTGTATAGAGCACGATCACTGAATACCGTAGTCACTATGTTAAACATCTTCCAATAGCATTTAATCGATATGCATGTATATTATACCTCTGACGTAAAGGGATATAACCCAGAAAAGTTTGTCAAAAATAGCATGAATTAATATATTTCAACATGGCATACATCAACGAAAGACCCCAGGGGAATCTTGGTTTCAAGCGAAGGATCCCTTCAATATTTTCTGATGAATAACAGTAACAATTTGTATGGAAATGCCAAAACCAAAGATAGCAACCGTTTGTTATTTTGTTTTTCAAATCAAGTTTTTTTTTAGAATAAATATTCCTGGATAGCAAAGGGGTTGAAATCTTGTGATACTTGTGTGAGGTTAAGGCTCTTTTCCAGTCAGGCATTACATTTAATATGAACCATAAACACAATGTGCGAAGCTTTACATTCAAAATGTACTGATTTAATGACCATTGAAAATCAGGCATATGAAATATTTGTATACAAAAACAATAGTTATACAACAATACATATTTAGCCCTGTTTAATGCCAAAACTGATAGTCCAATAGGCATGAAAACCATCTAATGATCACTTGCACTGAAAAGTATTGGCTCAAAACCCAGTTCTGCATTAAATACCAGCACAAAGGCCAGTGTTAAACCTTCTTGCCAATAATCAGCCATTAACTCACGCTAAAATAGTTTTGTTAGGTGCAGTTATTGATAATATCTTAACACATCTTTAACTCACTGTCCAAAATTTGTAAATCTTTGACCTAACAGTATAATAGATATTGAAGGTAACTTTCACTTCATCAGAACCTCTATATTTAAGACTGGCAACAACTTTGTAAATATAAGCCCTGCACTATATTACACCATATTTCATGGCTGATAGTGTAAGACCAGCTGGAAGTCTGAACAAAATAAAAGAGAAAAAATATCATCAATTCTAAAAATCAAAACTTCACATTAATGTTCAAAACTTACAGCACATTATCAATATTAGAACCTAAAAGAAGTCAGGAACTCTTGAGAAAAAAAACATCAGCATCCAAGTTGTGTTATTGTCTGGCTAGATATAACTTCAACCTTTAAAATAATGTAGCACTGACCTTATCATCAAGTCTGTTGTCGAAAGATAATGCAATATTGCTTCACACCACTGATAAATGTGTGAAAATACCAGATTTTGTTGATAATATCATGTGTCAGCAAATCTGCTAAGGAATGGTGATGTTCTGGAAAACCGACAGATCCTGAAGGTTTGCTAATATGTACTTATATAGCTTCTTTTCCTCTTGGAGTGATTTGCAACATAGGTTCTTGAGAGGCAGATCACCAAGGATCTTTAAGGGGTTTATCTTGCCTATCCTACATCTCATGTTTTTATCCATTGAAAATAGATTTTGAACCAATAGGAAGCAACTCCTGTAGTGGTTTTTGATAAAAGCAGGAACTTCATGGGAAAAATGTCCAATATGGCAGTCTGAAGGGCAATTTTCATTGTTACCAATCTATTTCAACTACCCAACAAGTTTAAGACCATACTGTTTCTAAATCAGTAGAATTTGAAACAGGATATAATCACAATATTTTGGTATTACCAGCATCATATAACACCATTGTTTGATCATAATCAAATCAAAATTTATCTATAAGCAAAAACCAAAGGAACAGTGCTTACTAAGTTTTGTAGTTATATAACAGAAGAAATATCAAAAGAGGCCTAATATAAGAAACTTTTGCATCTATGACCTTACCCCCTAGTATTTTCTATTTAAAAAACAGTGAGTTCCCTTGTGGGAATGATCCCTTCATCTGTAACAGAGAATCTACAAAGCTGACCAATAAACTCTGCATTGAAACTGATAATGAAACCTACTTAGCTTACCAACAAGCACTGCAAGACCACAATGACCATTACTGAGCCTTGCATAGACCACACTGACCAAGAAGCCTACTGAGCGGACAACCAGGCCTTGTATGACCAAAATGACCATTACTGAGCCTTGCACAGACCACAATAACCAAGAAGCTAACAAAGAAGCCTACAGAGCCGACAACCAGGCCTTGTATGACCAAAATGACCATTACTGAGCCTTGCACAGACCACACTGACCAAGAAGCCCACCAAGCTGACAACCAGGCCCTGTATGACCAAAATGACTATTACTGAGCCTTGCACAGACCACACTGACCAAGAAGCCTACTGAGCTGACATCCAAGCCCTGTACAACGACACTTACCAGGAAACCAATACTCCCTCATTTCCAATCAATCGATTCACTGTAAATGTCTATTCAGCACCAGAGAAGACCCCACACTTACTCAACCATTCCCAAACCTATTAGATTTGAAGTCAGACCTAGCTATAACTATCCTATATCCTGGCTGTAATCCATAAACAGAAACCCTCAACATATTTCCTAGGACTGTCAGTTCCTTGGGTTAAATAGAAATGTCATGGGTCACAAGAAGCAATACAAAGACACTTTTAAACCAAATTGTGATAGACACAAAGTAGTAAATGTGACATATTGTACACCTAACAACTAGAGTCCAGTATCACAGACACATCAGCAACACTTCCCCAGCATGTATACTCAAAGACAAGTGTGCTCATCTGTCTGAGAAAGGGACAAGCTTTAAAAGTATAAGCTCGAAGCTTGATTTTCAGTTTAGTGCTGCCCAAAACACTATTATGTTCAGTGTCCTATTTCCTTTTCTATTCCAAAACACATTTAAAAATCCATCATGATCTTGAATCAAAGTGCCAAAGGCCAGAAAAAAGTAAAGATATGAAAAGTTCTGATTTCACATCAAAATATCACTGACTTCAGATGTACTCAAAGAGAACGAGGATTTAATGGAATATCAAGTTGACAATGGATTACATTAGAATATTTCATGTGCTTTTCTATGATTTTTTTCATGAAATTTGATTTTGTTGAATAAACAAAGCTTTCAAAAGATGCCAGGTGCACAGATCAATAGTGACTTATTTCATGGACATATTATTTCAGCAATCAGCTGATTTCAAATGTTTATCCCAGTTTTTATAAAGAAAAAATAAAGATTTTGTAATTACATATATATTGGGTCAATACTGATTTGAAAGAGCTTGAGGCCATCTATAAAACTGCAATAATTGAATAATTTGAATAAGGACATGATAAAGTCATTCTGTTATATTTGTCTGGTGTCAGTTTGAGATCCAGTTAACATTAATTAGTTTGATGTTGGGGTATATCACTGCAAGCTACTGTGCATGTATAAAATGTCTTAATTACACCAAGTTTCTTTGATTGAATGACTGACATGGTATTGTGTTAACTAATTATACCTCCATCATTTCACATCACGTGTACACGACAATTGTACAGAACTTTCTAATGCAAACTTGCTCAGAACAAACACACTGATATGCTGTTGATGTAATTACAGTAATGGTTGTTTTTCAGGCTTTTGTAAACTTTTCTCTACAAGGAGATAGCAATCTATCCCAGAATTCTACATTGTTTTTGTGGACAAACATGTACAAAAAACCAAATTGACAGGTGCTACCGGTTGAAGCTGCACTTAACAACAGATACATGGTTGGGATATTGAACAATTTTATACTTTCGTGATGCAGCCAGCAATAGCTTCCTACTTAATTATGTCACCAGAAACATTTTCATTTCATGATTTTTCAAAAGGAAAAACCAAGCAACAAATATTGTGTATTTGTAATTGTTAAATTCTGTATTACCCAATGTGGTATTAATCAGATATTACAACCATCTGGTTCCGTTTCACAACACCTAATCCAGTAATCAATCTACAATTTATTTTCAGGAGTCCTTTTCAACTTTATTGCTAAAAACAATGGATCCCACAATGTAAAATTTATGTATTTCCAGAAATTCTTAAAGTCCCATCAAAATTCTATGAGTAAAGAACTCTGGACGCCCATGTAGATTTATCACTGCTAATCATGCTTCTTTGTACTATATTGGCTTACCTTCTTTTCAAACATAGCATCTAACACTTCCTGCATCTGTTCCTGAAGTAGAAAATATTTAAATCAGTTTAAAATCATCTCATATATCAACATATAAGTTAAACATAATATTCCTGTAGGGCAAATAATAATGATTTCAGCAGCAAACAGAGGTGACCTTTTACCCTTGACCTTGATAGAGTTCAAGTTCCTTTTCTATGCTGTTAAAATATGAGCTACAATTGCTGATTACACATCAAGAAACATCCTTCCCATCAGCTTTTAGCAGTTAAATTTGAGCTTTCACCTACGTATAGAAAAATTGATTACTATAATGAGATGATGACGTAAGAGTTTTCCTAAATACTTCAACTGCAATTCTTGCAGGAAGAAGAGCATGGTAACTAAGGCTACTATTTCATTCAGCCAATCATTCGACGTTGAAGACATGTCTTGGTTGTTCCGTTATATAAAGCATTTTCTGACTGGAACTGATACTAGCAGTTATTGCTTCTAATGTTTACAGATGAATGACTGGGTTGGTAGACATTGCGCTATAGATGAAAACATCCTCACACTATTTGTCTAAAGTGATGGAAACTTTGTGGAAGATTGTGAATACTTACAACATCAAGTGACCGGAAAAGAAGGATGCAACGAACTGCCTCACTCAGCCTCTTTCGCTGCTCATCAGACTTTGGGTAAACAATCTGAAACAAAATACTACATGTAGTTGTGGCTCAAGTACCACAAGCCATCTAACTACACTACACTTTGTAGTGGACAGAAGCCATGGCTATGTTGTAAGACATGAAAAAGCATCACATAAAGTGTTCAATTTGCAGGGTTGTTTTGGTGATTTAACTCTAGAATGATACCTGAAACAAACAATATGTCTTAATACATTTTTTTCCAGTGCAATATATGGTTTTATAGTAAAAATATAGGTGATATTGTCACTCATTTTTCAGATCACTTCATTTGTAGTGAAACTATCTATTCTCCTAGAGTGCATTGCAAATTCAAGAAAGACGACTCTAGTATAGTCCTAAGAAACCCTGGCCTTAATGTAAGGTATTGATACTGGTCAATAAGAATTTGATCATTAGAATGTTTTGTATACTGTATATACTTATGTCAAATAATACTGAAGATCTGTCATAAATCTATGTGAAACTAGCGCACTCATATCAGGTATAGACAGAGTGGCATGCTCAAATTGGCATCAATGAAAAGTGTGAAAAATGTAGTAAATACAAGATTCATTGTTTCTTGATAAATAACAGTTCCAGATCTATCCCCTCATGGGGGGGGGAAACTTTAGATATTTTACACATAAGCAAATACCCTCTATTTAAGATTGTGCTGATTTCTATAACTTTTAAATTACAATGCTTCATATTCACAACTGCTTAAAAGTCAAATATTGAATCACATCCAGGTTGAATCAGTGATGACTAACTAATATAACAAATATTAAAACATTTTAAAAAGTTACACCAGATGTCAAAATTGTTCATCAAATTTAGAAAACCATAACAATATACATAGTTCACCATGGGGCTCTGTTGGGCAAACTATGGGCCCCTTCACCATGGGGCTATGTCGAGCAAACTATAGGCCCCACTCCCAAAGGGATTTATGTCATTACATGGCCAAATTCCCAAAATACATTATTTACTTCTTAAAACTTCCTTCCCAACTGATCAATTTCAATCAATGAGAAAAAAAGCCCTTTCATAATATTAGAGTGGATAAAAAAGCCCTGGATTCACTAAAATGAATGTCTACAGTTAAATTATCCATCAATTTTAATCAACATTAAAGTCATAAAATGGTGGTCTTTTTTGTGTACTGCTACATAACTTAATCATGTAAATCATAAAAAATTTCAGTATATAGGTCAACAAATGTCACATAATTTAAGTCCTGTGGTAGATTGTAGTATATACAAAACATCACAGTATCCATGTATTTCCATTTTAACTTCAAATACTCACATTTGTATCTATGACTGAGACTAATTATCAGCACAGCGCTATTTCTTTAGATTAGATAACTGGAGCTTGAGTAAATGGCTAAATAACCAACATGGGAATGTTGATTTCACCTGGCTTTGATGGGTCATAAACTCATAGCTATCGTGAACACTTTATAATCAAATTTTTAAATGTCTAGTCAGTTGTAGTGAGCTCCTTTTTATCACATTTAAATGTTAAGAAACCCTGGCTTTTGTTGATAATTGGCATGGATTATTGTTATGAAAAGATAGGAAACTCAATTTGTACACAGGAATTTGAATTATGGTTAAGAAATACAACTTTACTGCAATCTCCCTAATTTTCCTGAAAGAGCTGACATGAAGACATCAGCAACAGTCTATTTGAAAAAATAATGATATATCTATATTGATTTTCAATATTCTGAAGATCAAAAGCAATGCTAATAACTAAATTGGCTTATAAGTGAATGAAAAATGATTTAGAGCTTTTTGATGTATCATGTGTATCAGGGCTTCGATAAGACACGAGACTTGATTACTATTCCAAACTTAATAACTATAACATGGACTGCCCTGATGAAGGTGCTCCATGAAAAAAACAGCAAAGAGAATGAAACTGACAGCAATTGTACATGCTACAATTTTTGTTAAGAATCAAATTTCTAATTTGTTGACACAGAGTGAGATGGAAAGTATTGGGGGACTGCCTGGCGCGATTTCACACACAGTTAACAAAACTGAAGACAGTGATTTCGTTCATAGTGGTCAAAGAAACTTTTGATCAGTGCAAAAATCAGGTAAATATGGTTTGACGATATGAAATGATAGATAACAAAATAAGGTTGAAATAAGCATTTACTTAAGATTATTATTGAAGTAAGTAAAGCAGGACAGCCTTGCTTTTTTTTACAATCAATGATGTCTCTAAAGAAATCATATTTAAATCAATGTTATTTAATCAACAAAATCTTTTCAATCTTATTCCAAAGAAGACGAACCCGAGCTCACAAGCTTTATAAAAATTTTGAAGTGAAGGCAGCCTTTCAAACATGGAAATCTGACTATAATTTGACTCCTGATTATTAATAACCATGGCCCGTCTCCTGGTCACTTAACACTGTCTTGTGATCCTGACATGTTACACCCCAAGAATTAATGTATTTGTATACTGACCTTGTCTTCACCCTCATCAGAGTCTGCCTCTGGGTCATATCTTTCTGCAGACACTGTAAAGGAAGAAATAATTCAATTATGCCTCCATCATGTGTTATTACATAGTAAATGGGACCAGTCTGTATCATAGACAGCCTTATTGACAGGCCAGTCTGTCGACCTTATTGAGGAACAAGTCTGTATAACAGACAAGCTTGTTGAAAGGTCAGTCTGTCAACCTTATTGAGGGACAAGTCTGTGTCATCAGACAGCCTTATTGACAGGCCAGTCTGTCAACCTTATTGAGGGACAAGTCTGTATCATAGACAACCTTATTGACCGGCCAGTCTATCAACCTTATTGAAGGACAAGTCTGTATCATAGACAAGCTTGATGAAAGTTCAGTCTGTCAACCTTATTGAGGGACAAGTCTGTATAATAGACAATCTTATTGACCAGCCAGTCTACCAACCTTATTGAGGGACAAGTCTGTATAACAGACAAGCTTGTTGAAAGGTCAGTCTGTCAACCTTAATGAGGGACAAGTCTGTGTCATCAGACAGCCTTATTGACAGGCCAGTCTGTCAACCTTATTGAGGGACAAGTCTGTATCACAGACAACCATATTGACAGGCCAGTCTATCAACCTTATTGAGGGACAAGTCTGTATCATAGACAGCCTTATTGACAGGTAAGTCTATCAACCTTATTGAGGGACAAGTCTGTATCATAGACAACCTTATTGACAGGTAAGTCTATCAACCTTATTGAGGGACAAGTCTGTATCATAGGCAGCCTTATTGACGTGCCAGCCTGTCAACCTCATTGAGGGACAAGTCTGTATCATAGATAGCCTTATTGACTGGCCAGTCTATCAACCTTATTGAGGGACAAGTCTGTATTTTCAGACAGCCCTATTGAGACACCAGTCTGTCAACTTTATTGTAGGATAGGTCTGTTTCATGAGACAGCATTATTCAGCAAATGTATATATCATGGGAGAATAAATGCCCATTCAATTTTTTTTTAACTTAAGACATTTGTAAAAATGAAACATTTGGGATACTCTTAATAAGTGCTTGTGAAAATTAATGTGAGTGAGTTGTATCAGTAGGTGACAAGATGGTGTTGTCTCTTTTAGAACAGAGCAACACAATTCATATCAAAATTATGAAAGATGATATATCATGATACATATTGTGATAAAGTCTCATACATCACTATATGCTTCAGACATATCACTACACCCCTGGTAAATACATTGTCAAAGTGATCAAAAGACCAAACATAGTCATGTACTCTGTCAGGTTTAAGTCTTGTATAAAGTACTCCTTTGATATAAAAGGCCACTGGTTGGTCGATTTTTTATCTGACATTATTGTGTCAACTGTGGCCTGTCATAAGTTTCTCACCAAGTAAACCTCAAACAATTTTAGACTAATATACACTAATGTTACACTTAAGCTTATAAATATAACTACCAATATTGTAAACCATTGGTCAGTCAAAACAACGCGAAATATCGTCTGACCTGTTCAGATTATAAGAAATCATGCTTGTAAAACAAACCTGCCAGTTTTTATGCTTTGCATAGACTGATCACGTGTTATTGTAAATCACTTAAATTTTGCATGGAAAATTATTATTGCATTAATACATGAAGTGAGCCAATAATCGGGAATTCAAATCCCTCACAATTATTTGTATGAAAATAAAGACTCGAGATGACATATTTGTTATTCCACTGTCAAATTTATACATAATCCTCATCATAAAATCACATACAAATCTGTTTCACATATATCAAAGTATTATTTTCATATTCCGACATCTTTGGAACTCTGTGCACTTTTAAATGACACCCTCATATATTGTAGATTCACAACATGGTGTCATTCAAATGTGCAGCGATAGGTCAGAGGTAGTAGGTCAAGCATATGTGCCACAATAAAAGTAATTATAAATCACTAATGCTATTTTGTATGGAAAAAGGTGCTAAAATATGTAGGTTAACAGAGCTGATAACACGCAGAATATCTACTATATTGAATTACAAAATAAACTGTAAGAAAACCATCAAGGATGTTACCACTAAGGCACCTACTATACAGTTAGTATCAACACATTAAGAACAATAACATTAAAGTACAGCACATGTCTTGCCTATTGAAGTCCCGTCATCTTACTTTGAAAACAACTTCACTCACGTTTCAAACATTAAAGTATGTTCATTTCTTTTGTCTACGTACTAGCCTGCACTCAAGTAAATACAATTCTGTAGGGACACAGCATTATCATATGACTGAATCAGTTTTTTAAGTACAGTCATATGACTGTGGTAAACAAAATGGTGGCCAATATAAATTCAATGACATTTCTAGATCAGTGTTTGAAAAATCCTGCATTCAACGATATGTCATTAGAGGAAAGTTCATGAAAAGAAGTATTCACGAAATCTAAGTGATTTACAATATGCAGAGTTACGTCCTCAAGTTGTGTCTGCTGACATGCACATGATGTGACAGTAAAAAGACTTCAAAGAAATCACAATGAATTAACGATAACGAAGTGACTGATATACATGCAATTGGCAGTATCAACTGCTTATGATGGGCATCTACAACCTTCTACAGGCAGCGCTTACCATCAGTGAGAATAATGATGAAATGGAGCAATTATTATCCCCATCACAAGTTAAGCCTATGCACGATCACTAGATGTGTTCATAGATTCAAATTGTAGTGAAACAGGAATGGAAAGGGTTCCAACTATCATTAGACAGAAAATTATTGTTTTCATTGAAGAAAAAAAATCATAATCCAACAGCCTGCCAATTTGAAATGATCGGAGGTTCACAGTCAAGTTTTTAATTGTAATGTCAAATGTTAAAAAAAGGAAATAATAAATAAAGAACATACATACATGACTGAAAATTCAACCTAATAAAAAAAATTCACCAAATTGTTACACATCTGTTGCAGAAGCACTTAGCAGTCTGTTTGTGGTTAACTTTCAGAACTAGTTGATAGACATGTCTTATTTATTTTGGATTCTTAAATTGACATTTTTTTTTTTTTTTAAATAATTTCTTATGAAACAAAATCATAAAAACACATACCTGACTGTCTTCTCTGGAATCTGTTTGTTGGTGGCTCTGCAATGAAAAGAAATAAGAATTATGATTTAGCTGCCTCACTATACCTTCTAAATGTAATGTTCATCTGTAATTCTTAATTGGCACACTTTGTAGAAAGTACCTGCAAGCTACATATTATATTCTTATTTAATTAAGTCAGGGTACTTATACAACTGATTTATCCAAATTTCAGCAAAGACACAAATTCCAGTAAAAAACTGTAAGAGTTTGAACCTATACAAAAATTAAATAAAAAATTTGCGATTTTTTTTTACTTGATCTATGTGAAATAACCATTAAATTGCCCCTCTTAAAAACATTAAAAGTTATGTTGTTATACACATGACTTTTTCCCCATAAAGAGGATGTGATACTACTGTAAGTGTGATATGATCACCAAAGCTACTATGATATTGTATTTCTCTTACACATTCAAGTATATATAACATTCATGTGGGTTTGTCTCAAGAGGTCACTTGTATGCTCTGTCAAAATATGCATGAAGTTGGCTGCAGTGACTTTATCAATTTCAAAATATCTTCTGTATGTAAAAAAAGTACAGGATTTATGCAATCCAAAATTGACATGCTTATGTAAAAGTTAATAAGAAACACAAGGCACTTAATACACAAATATCTACCATAACCTTCTTTTCATAGTCATTTCTGTTATTTAATTCCTAAAATGCTGAGTTACTTTTATCTAGCAATGTTCTGATGTGGAAGAAAATTAAGATTATCCCATCCAACCCCCTTCCTCATCCAAAAAAGATGACAAGTGTACAACTTCATTGAAGTGAACATAATTCAAAATTTAGAGAAGGAATTTTGGAAAATTCATGTTTTATGTTATTCTAAAGTCACAAAAAAATTCCATGTATTAATTTTCATGATTTCCATAGCCTGATACAAGCAGATTGCTAGGATACAGCTTTCCCAGCTTGAGAGATGCACAGAGAACTTTCTGTCAGAGGAAAATATTCTCAGCTGTTTGGTACATTTATCCACAGCTTTGTCCAAGATTAACAGATACTTTTAGTATCTAATAATCTTTTCTAAATGGAAGATTTTTTGTTCCCTATCTTCAAGACAGAAAATAATAAGCTCTTTCTACCCCCTTCTCTTCATCTAAACCAGCTGGTTAGTCAAAATAATGGGGCACATAATTATACAGAGTTTTGACAGTTTTTATTTTAATTTAATATCTACCATGGTAGTTATTGGTAATTATATCTTATTTTCCATAATTCTAAGTTTTGTTCTCCCAGTGAACCAAATTCAGCTTCTCATTTTCCTAGCTATCAGTATGTATACATACTGTTATTACTGGCAACCATAAGTAATTTTCAATGTTCTGTGTGTATACAGTAGCGTAGCACACACTGTTACATGCTTGTTATATCCATCTGCGATCTTGGTTAAGACAAAAGAATTTCTCCCTGGTCGGAAGACGGAAGTGTAGAGTATGCATTTCTCTCCAGTGGAGTATAAGTGGAAACAATTATCAACTAAGACACTTATTTGAAGTACATTGTAGCCTAGTTCTGTACCTGATTATGTAACCATGACAGTCATTGTTTTGAGACCTTAAAACTTCATAATACGTAGCCTAAAGACAATGAAACACTAATGAAAGGTGAGTGGATGGCAGTCGACTCTTGCCAGGTACATAGACATGCTGCCTTTGTTAGCCTTGTCTTCATGGGCTGTCCATGAACTTGGTGCTTGTCTCTAATTGTGCCCTTATCTACCTGCTGTTATCTATATACACAGTTAAACAGTCCCAAATATCAAGACTTATTGTCATCTCCTCAGGAGCAGACCCATAAAGATATTATAGGCTGGCAGGATATGTTATAGCACGTCAAGAAAATTGATTAGTACACAGGTATAGGTATATTGTTGTACTAATCATTTAATTCATGGTTTGGTTTAGTGTGTATATGCCATTTTAGTTAAGTACGTATCTTTACCATACCTCCTTAACAGGCACCATATACATGTAAGGTAAAGTGTCTCCAAGTGTATCATTCACTTTCATCAGGTCAGGATTAAAGTTTGAAGAGAGTAAGAATTGATTGCAAAATTATCGCTACAATTCACTTTCCAAAGCTTAAACAAGTGGTGATTTTTCCTCTCTAAGAGTAGGGAATGTAAAAAATAATGGGACAGGTATTCTACCAACAACTAATTATGAAGTGGAGCTTTTCAGCATCACTGACTCAAAGAGGCAGTGACCATCAGGCTAATTTCATTGGAAAGTGGACTCAAAAACTGCAACCAATCAAAGCATTATTGACCTTTTCTCATATAGGGTCAAGTGGTGGTGAATCTTAAGTAATCAATACTACGTAAGAAATATGAAATTCAATACCTCTATCCAGCTATGAGAAAATGAGCACAAAATATTTTCAGTTTTTAGGTTCAAGGGTCATTACTCTGAAAAACAAAAATGAGTAGAGTGGCACTAAACAGAAATCACCTACATCTTCTCCTTCTGCAACTACATACCAGATGTCAGTTCAATACCTCCACCTCATTAACTTCATTTGTCCAGATAAGCAATAACCAAATTATGACAAATGAGCCCAAATGGCAGAATATAATATAATGAGCATGTTAATTTTAAAAATCCCAATCAGTGCCACCATAATTTTGTGAACAATATTACTGAAATGAAAAATAACTAAAACTATACAAAGATGTAGCATAAGTATGCATGTATATCAAAAACTGATTGGCATCCACTTAATTTGTTGTTAAACAAAATCACCAACAAGTAGACAAAATTTTTTATGATAATCTTACTAATGATTAAATTTCACAATACAAATGTACAAAATTTTCACTGATCCTTTGAACAGTAATTACACTAGCAAAACACAAAGGAGGAGGTTCCGAAGCTTTGAATACATTATAGAATAAGTAATATGTGCATTAATAGTTACAGTTAGCTCTGTGACACTGAAAATCAGTTTGAATGGTCACTAATGTCACCGTGACTCATTCTATTGCTATTCAACCCACAGGCCAGTCCATGCTAGAATTCATACCAATTCTGCAGTCAAAGTTGTTCCTTTAAATCATGTAATAATGAAATATTCAGGCCATGATGTATTCTTGGTACTGGCATTTTCGTGACACAGTAAAATATAATTTGTGACATGAAGACCTTGAGTGTTCTATAAATACTAAGCAAACTATGGATAAAGTTTCTCTTTAAAACTCTCAGATAGATTATCATTTGATCCCTGATAGCACACAAAGATGACTGTTTACCGTAACATAGTAAATAGTCAAACTCATTTAAAATGAGAATGTATTGAAATACCTCTGTATTTACAAATTCTTATTCAAATACTTTCCTTGTTTTTCTATTAATAATTGGTTCATGTAATATGCCACTACTTTAATTGAAAAATAAATTCTGGCTACCACAGATACCAAACCAATGTTTTCATATCACTTCATTTGAAAGTCACAATGTTCAGTATATAGAGTGTTTGTCATAGACCCTGTCCAGGATAATCAGATGGTGTTACATCATGTTAAAAGTAGGTTGACTATATTACAGATAATTAATGTATGATGAAATAAAAATGGTTAATAATACCACCAGTAACAACAAATTTAATATATAGGCAAGGTATGTATATCAGTAGATAACCTAGCTACATGATCCAGAAAAGAATTAGACAGAATAACAGCTCCAGGTCTGTTTTCAATTGTGAACAGACATAGACATGTTATAACAGAAAACAGATCAACTGAATAGACATTAAGCTTCAAGCTTAACACATGAAAGGATCAGAAATGTTAAAACCTCTCCTGTTTAACAGTCTTAAGTATAGAATCTGGGATATGTTTAGAGGTGTTGACTCTCATGATTTACTAATACAACAAGAAGGAAAGAACATTTCTTAAATGACTGGGAAATATTTAATAATGCATGGCTATGCAGGGTCACCTTCTCTACCTTTTGGAATTTCATCTTTAGCCAACTATAAAAGTCTTATATTAATCAATATAGGGCCAATAATGGGCCCCATTTCCAATTGAAATCTTTCATATTTATGCAGAATTCCCAAAATTTGCAATTTACTCTAAAAATTTCCTTCACAATTCATTAATTTCCTTCCCAAAATGAAGCAATAGCCCCCCAACCCAAACCAACAAAAAATGTCATGTACATGTGTTAGTTACATATTTACCTCCCCCTATACCAATCACCAAATAATATGAATTAATTAACTATCAACCCAAATCAAAAGTGTTCTTCTTTTAATAATCAAATTTCATGTCTCACACTCAGCTGGGTTGAAGAAAGAATGCACTTTTAATATATCAGCGAAGCAGGATCTTCTGCTACCAGTGGAAATACAACTTGATAGACAGTCCTGATTTCTCCATATAAAGATGCAGACATGACTTAAGACCACACCACATTTATGCCAACAAGACAAACAAACATAAGCTGCTGATATAACATATTTCAATACTGTTGAAAAATATAAACATACACATATGACAGCTTTTTGCTTTACTTACTTGTAAATCTTATGCATGCATGTGTGACCTTGACCTTTATGCAAGGGGTTTATGACCCCAACTCAAACATCAAAATAGTACAAAAAACTGGGTAAAAGCAATAGGACCACTTCATATCACCTTTATATGGTCTAGGTATGGAATGTGTGACTGTTAAAGAACAGCATGGCTATAAACATACTTAGAAATACATTTACACAAGTAATTTCAAGCTTCAACTCGACTAAATTAATCAACATCATTCCTGACTTTCTCTGGCACCTTAATTAGAAATGCTGAAATAAAGCAAGAGATATATATGTTGAAATAATTCAAGGCTTGCACTTGTACAACAAATTAACAGTTATGTTGAATAAAAACATGTTAAGCTTAACAATCTTTTTTCTTTTTGAACAAAATTGATTTCTTAATTTAAACCAGTCTTTCTGGCATACCACAGCCACAACTACAAGTAATACTATTCATCAACAC